CCGGCAGACTCTGAGCTATTTTTAGCAGCTGCTGCAGCAAAGGTTCATCTCTCATAATTAACTGAAAAGCCCACAAAGGATCTGCTCTCTGCCTTTCAGGTTCTATTTATAGGAGCTGCTCAGAGCTCCAAGTCACGGCAGGCTGCCTCAATCCATCTTCATAAACAAATTCATTAAAGCTCTTCCTCCGCTCCTGCCGTGCTCGTCCCCTCCCCTGCACATCCCGGGAGGCACTGCTGTGTTACACACACACACACACACACAGAGCCATGGCATCAGAAATCCCCACCCTCTGCTCTGCCAGCCTGCCTGGCTTCTCCAGCTGAAAATGCTCCAGCACGTGTGGATCTCTGGTGTAGATCTGAGCCTTTGTGAAGCACAAGCCAGAACTGCTCCTGCAGTGCCCAGTACCAAACACAGCCTTTGTGAGGGGGTTTGCAATCTGCCCTCAGCACAGACACTGTGCAGTCATTGAGTGATGCTTCAAAGCCACCTCCCAATAAATTCCATCATCTTTACATCCCCTGGTGCATTTAGAAAACACATGTTCTTTTAGCTGACATACAGCCAAAGATTTGTGCTTCAAAGACAGAGCCCTGGCAAAAATCTCTTTTACAGCTCTATTCCAGTTCCACTTAGTCAGGTGTCTTTCCCATACCTCAACCTGACACGTACCAAACAGCAGAAAAACCCCCAGCAGGAAGGCAGCAGATAGCCCTGCAGATGAGGTTTGGTGATTACCCAAGCATGCTTCCCTCATCCCCTTCTGCAGCAAACTCTGGTTCCTAATGTTAGATCTATTTCCCCAAACAGAACTGGCTCTTCTATTCCCTCTTCCCCTTCAAACTCATCTTCACCTCCTCATGAAACAGGAGGCAGCTCCCAGTCACCTACAGGAATCCATCAACCAAGAAAGAAACACCCCAGTGCTTGATATAGAAACTCAGCATCACATCCCAGGACTCACAAGTTTCTAAGAGCCAAGATTCTGCAAAAGTAATGTGACCTCATGCATAGAATACACCTGACACAAATAAGCAATAGCCTTTGAACATGCCTTGCTATTTTTGGCCTCAAGCCACTTCAAAGCTCCAGCTCCTCCTGCCCAGTGGAACCAGTTCTGTGCCACCAGCTCCCACACAGGTTATCCAGCACCAACTGAGAGCTGCCCAGAGAGAAGAGCCACAAATCCCAGAAAAACACATCAGATCCACAGTGGCATTCCCACTGACTTCAGAGTACACTGGAATGAATCCTGTCATTTTAAAGCATCTTCCAGTCCTACTACTGCAGCTGCTAGTATCTGTATAAACATTTATCAAACTCAAGTGCAACCAAATGTTCATCTGACATATATAAGGTCTGTCTTGTTGCTTCTTTCCCTAGTTTAGAGAAGGGGAGATAGAGAAAGAAAATAAACTGAAGATATTCATCCTGAGCAAGATCAGTATTAAGTTTCACTGCTTGCTCCAGGGAAAAGGACAGAAAATCCCAGAAGTGATGCTTTTCTCATGCTGGTGGAAAATTCCCCAAATGAATGTGGACATGCTGCCTCAAGGAAGTCCCAGATCTCACTGGAAATGCTTGGTTAAGTAACAGGAGTGTTGGCAGGTGCTGGAGAGCTGCAGGCACTGCTGCCCTGAACCACCAGAGCTCAGAGTGTGGCTGGAGCAGGGGAGCACAAACACTGCCTGCATCAATACACGGCAATCCCGTGTGGGGCAGGGCCTGCACAAATGGCCCTTGGAGACAAAACAGAGCACAAACAACCCCCAGGGCTGCACTGCACGCTGACAAGAGGCAGCAGCTGCTAAAGAGCACAGGGGCACAGGGATGGGCTCATGGCAGCCCCCACCTGGCCAGCAGTGCCACCATCCCCAGGTCCCCAAGCACAGGTGCCACACCCAGCCCCTTACCTTGAAATTGGACTCGCCATCCAGGCTTGCTGTGGTGACATAACAGGTCCCATCAGTGCTGCTGGAGGCCAAAAATATCAAATCACAGGGGAAGGTCTCATCTGCTTTCACTTCTACTATGTCTCCAACCTAGGAGAAAGGAAACATTTACATTGAAAATCCTCTCAGTTGTTATTAGATTATTATGGTTTAGTTTCTCTCAAAGCCTAGAAGAAATCACCTTGGCTGAAAAGTAAACTGGGGTGCAAGATGAGCACAGATCCCTGAGCACCCACCTGGCACTGCCAGGGGACAGTCCCCTC